GGCGGCCATCTTGGGTGGGGAAATGGCGGCCATCTTGGGTGGGAGGAGTCGAGGCCACATTGGTGGGAGGAGTCAGGGCAGCCATCTTGGTGGGCGTGGTCACGGCGGCCATGTTGGTGGGAGGGGTCAGGGCGGCCATCTTGGTGGGAGGAGCCAGGGCGGCCATCTTGGTGGGCACGGTCACGGCGGCCATGTTGGTGGGAGGAGTCAGGGTGGCCATGTTGGTGGGAGGAGTCATGGCGGCCATCTTGGTGGGAGGAGCCAGGGCGGCCATCTTGGTGGGCGTGGTCACGGCGGCCATGTTGGTGGGAGGAGTCAGGGCGGCCATGTTGGTGGGAGGAGTCAGGGCGGCCATCTTGGTGGGAGGAGCCAGGGCGGCCACCTTGGTGGGCGTGGTCACGGCGGTCACGTCGGGGGGAGGGGTCACACCGTCCACTTCAGGCACCTGCGGGGGGGGGAAGGGAGGGGTCAGGGGGTCCCAGTGGGTGCCCCCCCACCATACTGGGGGTCCCAAAACGTGTCCCCCCATTCCAGGTGTGTCCTTACCTGTCCCCTCCCCCAGGTGTGCCCCAGGTGTGTTCAGGTGTGTCCCAGGTGTGTTCAGGTGTGTCCCAGGTGTGTCCCAGGTGTATCCAGGTGTGTCCCAGGTGTGTCCCGGGTGTGTCCCCAGGTGTGTCCCAGGTGTATCCAAGTGTGTGCCAGGTGTGTCCCAGGTGTATCCAGGTGTGTCCCAGGTGTATCCAGGTGTGTCCCAGGTGTGTCCCAGGTGTGTCCCACATGTATCCAGGTGTGTTCAGGTGTGCCCCAGGTGTGTCCCAGGTGTGTCCAGGTGTGTCCCAGGTGTGCCCCAGGTGTGTCCAGGTGTACCCAGGTGTGTCCCAGGTGTGTCCCAGGTGTGTTCAGGTGTGTCCCAGGTGTGTTCAGGTGTGTCCCAGGTGTGCCCCCAGGTGTGCCCCAGGTGTGTTGCTCACCTGGTGTCCTGGTGGGTGCCCAGGCAGCGGGTGCAGCAGTACCTGTGTCCCCCCAGGTGTGTCCCA